AAAAAAAAAAAAAAAAAAAAAAACTTTAGAAAAGTCTCAAAACGAACAACAGCTATAATATGCAACCAATAAAATATACATATGAAATAAGAGTTATATACTTGACAACAGATGTATATATCAGTATTACGGAATGGAAAAGGGACAGGAGATGGGCAAGAAGCAGCTACTCAAGGAGACAAGAGGTCCTAATTTAGCAAAGAACTTATGTGTTTAAACTCTAAGCCTGAACGTGACTTCATTAGGAGCCAAGCACATGTCTGAGGGCTGACCGGAAAGAGACCAAAGACTAAGATGCTATCAGAGGTTCTGTGGAGGAGATTCAGAAATACTGTAAGGAAGAAAGACTTTAGTAGAACTTTCAACCACTCAGAATGTTTGCCTCCATTTCTAGAAATGTATTTTCTAATCTATCCAAAGCAGGGTGGATACAAATTGATAAAAAAAAATTAAAAAGATGGGTTTTTCAAATTTTAAATTGGTTTTTAATTTTTTTAAATTAAATTATAATTACGTTTTCCTTTTTAAAAACAAACCTGCTTCAAATGAAATTTGAATTTAATACAGCATAGGCTACAATATACATTTAGTAGGCTTGTGCGAGTAGGCAGCTATTCGATCCAGCCACTTCGGATGGCAGTGATCCCATCCAGAGCTCTGGACTGGGTTCCCGCTTTGATTCGGCCAAAGTGTCTCCAACGCTTCGGAGCCACCTCCGAGATCCGGCCATAGGGTATAATGGGGAATCAATGAAATTTTTCATATGGCCTCAGCGGGAGCTACCATCCCTGCAGCTTTCACCCTGCTGCGTGTTAACCCACACAGTGTCACCCATGTCACGAGTTTTGCTTGTCCGCAGCTTGAGGTGCAGTGTCCCTCAAACCCCTGCACTTATGTCCTTGAAACTTGGCAGGCTTCGTGGCCTCAGCAGGGGCCACCATCCCTGTAGTTTTCAGCCCGCTGCACCTTAACACACATGCAGGGTCATCTGTATCATGAGTTTCACCTGTCAGTAGCTTGAGGTGCAGTTCCCCCCAAACCCCTGCATTGATCTTCTTGAAATCTGGCAGGCTTTGAGGCCTCACCAGGGGCTACCATCCCTGCATTTTTCACCACCCCCCGTGTCATAACACATAGACATGACATGAGTTTTGCTTTCAAGAATTTGGGGTGCAGTTCCCCCCCAACCCCTGCACCCAACTTCTTCAAGCTTGACAGGCTTCATGCTCTCAACATAGGCTACCATCCTTGCAAATTTCATCCAAATCAGACAAAAAAACAACAAAGTTATAGGTATTTCATTGATTTCCTATTATACCCTATGGCCGAAGCTTTTCCGAAGCACTTTGGAAGCTCCGAACCACTTCGGAAAGCCTAAAGACGCCAGCGCTTTGATCAGAACATGCTGCTTCAGCCTCTGAAGTGTCCATAGCTTCTCTGGATCTGAAGCACGGTCCGAAGCCTCGCACAGCCCTAACATTTAGCACAATCTATTAAAATAATTTAAATAAAATATTACGTTGAGTCAACAAGCCTTTGCTAAAAACTCTGGAGTTAAAGGTTGATATTCTTCTATATAAAAACAAAGGGGAAAATATCTAACTTTTGAGATCAGGCTTTAAAAAATACAGTACAATATTTCATGTATAAAGGCTGTGACCCTGCAAGGGATGCATGGTACATACTATCAATGCAAAGAATCAGCAAAGTCATCACAGGTGTTGGAACCTTGCCTCTTGACTCCAGTAGAGGCCTATTCTGAAGACCATCTATGTTAAAAATTGTGACAAAATTGCTGTAAGTATCACAGCAAGAGTAGTCTAAAGAGAACTAAAGAGAAACGTAGAAGATAAGATGACTATACTAAACCTATTTTCATAGCCTTGGACAAACTACAGAAAGATTGCTGCTGTAATGCAGATGCTGTTGAAATTTGGAAAGAACTTCAAGAAACATGAAAACAAGAACTTCAGGAAGCATGCCCCCTCCCCCCTGCCCAGCAGGTAAGTCTGTGGGGAGAGAAGGGATGGTACAGATCAAGGCAGAGGGAGAAAAAATTATTTGGGGGCACACCTCCCCAGCAGGTAAGTCTGTGGGGAGAGAAGGGATGGTACAGATCAAGGCAGAGGGAGAAAAAATTATTTGGGGGCACACCTCCCCAGCAGGTAAGTCTGTGGGGAGAGAAGGGATGGTACAGATCAAGGCAGAGGGAGAAAAAATTATTTGGGGGCACACCTCCCCAGCAGGTAAGTCCCACCCAACCAGGACCCCACTCATCTTACCCATGCTCCTGTGGCACTGTGCCTCACTGTGGGGGCCTTAATCTAGCCCTCACCTCTTCCCTCCCCTACGGAATGACCTGCTGGGCTGTGGCACGTACAAGCATGCACACAGGCACTCATCCCCCACCCCAACCTTGGATCAACTCCAAGAGGCTCCGAGATCTACCGACGGACTGAGATCTACTGGTTGGTGACCACTGGATTGAACTATGAGTGAATTTCCATTCCTTCCTAAAAATTCCATAATTTGTAGAAAAATGTGCAGTGTCCTTGACTTCCACTTTTCTTTACCTTTATAACAGAATCCAAAACAGCTCTGCCCCCACCGGACTTCATATAGGTGGTCGCGGGCAGGTTTCAAGCATTCTCCAGGCCCCATCCAAGGGGTGTGTCCCCAGAACTTATGCATCAGGTTACGCTCCACCCTGAGGGGAGCCCTGACAGTCTCCTGCCATGGGTTGATTCTCTATGTTCCTGGCGTGGGGTCCCTCCCAGGGTTTCTTGCTACTCCTGGTATCCCTCACCAGAGGCGTTCTTGGGGCTCCATTTCCCCTACACCCCAACCAAGCGCCAACCTTCCAGGCCACTGGATGATGAGCCTTTGGCCCGCTCCTCAGTTTGGCTACTCTCAATGATCACGGGGTGTACAATTATCTCCGCCTTCGCTGTCGTCCCTCCTCTGAGGCTCTTGCCCAAACTGGCCCTGATCTTTCTCCATGGCCCTGGACCCATGGAGGGTTTTCTGGGGCTGCCCTCCAGGCGCCCTCCAAGATAGGATAAGTCACAAAAAAAATGAAGAAGAGAATAAAAATAACGAAAAAGGTCTGGGTGTAGGATTCTGCCCACCCCACTCATGGGTCCACTGTCTTAGACTGTCTCTGGTCCCCCAACGTCATCCCTCTCTTTCTTGGCTGTCCTGCCAGTCTACATGGTGGGCTCCACTAGAGTGGGGTGAGCCCCTTTTAAGGGATCTCCATCTCGCTCCTACCAGGGCTGTCGGTTTCCCTGGGACGTTGGCTGGGGAGCACCTTCACCCCTCAGAGTCCCAGCCGCTTCTCCTGCCATTTACCCGCCGCCAGCTTTTAAATCCGCCGGGCGGCGGTTTTTTATGACTTTATCTGCCGGCGCCGTCACCAGCCAGCAATAAAAGTGGCTGATGAACCGTGCAAGTGTCTCTCCTTGGCGCAGCTTGCTCTGCCCTGCAAGAGGTAGTAAGTGTTTCTTCCTTTCAGGGCTCCTTCCCCCTTTCCTTGGGCATGACACCCCTTCCTTGGGTCGTCCTAGAGCCTCCATTTTTATTCCCCTGGGACAAACTCACTTTGTCACGTATTTTGCACGGCAGCTGCTGTGACAGTGGTAGGTATACATGATGATCTAAGGAAGCCTATGGACCCTGGTGTCCCCACGGCTCTATGAGGTCCTGCAATGCTTCCAGGAAAAATACCAGCTGCACAATATTAATTTAGCAACCCTGGTTAACCACTGCAAGATACAGGTGGTGGTAAGGGCGAGATATCATGCATGGACTTGCTACCCAGTGACAGCTGCCAGGCTGTGTGGGAGCGAATTTTCCACAAGGACCTGGAAACGGAGCACAAAGACCTGAACTAGCAGACAGTCCACTGGGCATTCTTGAAATGGGTATGGAGAAACAGTGCAGGACAGAGAGGTTTAGCAAACTGCCCTGGGCTAATCTGCCAGTAGCAAGCATAAACAATCGACCACCTCTTCTGGGACTGCCCATATGCCAGAGGTGTGGAAGAAAGTACGTGTACTCCTTCTGGTGGTGACAGGTGTCAAAATCCTGACCAGAAAAGTGGTCCTTTACGGGCACTTGACCAAACTCAAGGGGCCCCGATAGCCCACTTTGACCAATTCAGCTCCTGCTTCAGGTACGCCCTGTAGAAAACCAGGAACCCATTCACAAATAGGTACTCAGACCCTACAGTCAAAGACTGTATTAAAATGGGGCTGAGTGAAAAATAGCGATACTACAGGAAGACAGAAGAGAACAGGAAAGAGACTGCAGACCTCATAGGATGGACTGGTATACATTTTTCAGAGGCAAGCCCTCCGAAATAACAAGGACAACGGTGAGGACAGCGATGACTATGATGACAACAAGTGAAAGCACTGGAATGGTGATGGATGCATGGGTGCACAGTGCAAACTCTGTAACAGGACTAAAATAGTTTAACTGGTAAACTGTACTTTGGTCTGTCTAGGGAACCACAGGGGTCACTTGACAGGTTGGTAGACGTACAGTTATATACAATATTTATTTACATACATAGAAATAAATATTTTTGCAAAAAAACAAAACAAAACCATAGTTTGTGCTACACATAAATAAGTGCCAAAGTACTGTTCAAACGTGTTTATGGAGCACCTGTGCTAAAATTGAAGCCGTTAAAAAAAAAAGATAACATGCATCAATTGTGGATGAACTAAGTGTATGGGTACTATATGCAAACTGCTAAAGCCACGTTTAATTTCAAGGTTATTGTTTTCAGATTTGCTCCTCACTTACACATGCTCAGGGTGAGCAGGGTCTGATAGTATGGAGAGGGGGAAGGGGCTGTTAGTGGGGGAAAAAGTAGGGGAAGCAGAGAGCAAAGGGGCTACCTGATGCCCCCAGATTTATTTTCCCTGCTGTAGCAGTGGAAAGGGGACACATTCAAAGCAAACCTCCATTAGATTCTATACCTGGAAAACTATAAATTTTCCATGTATAGTATCTAATTACTGGGGAGTTATCTTGTACTCAGGGTCATCTAGTCCAGTAAATACAGTAATCTGTTAGAATTACTGGAAGGTCATCTTAAAGTTGCAGAGCAAGCAGTGGTGCAGGCAGTAAGGGGGCAGGAGAATCAAGTAGCCTGCCCCCTGCCCTGCCCCCCTAACCACTTGTCCCGCTACTGCCTGCAGCCTGTCCCCCCCAACACCCGGGCACCTGCTCCCCCACCACAGTGCCTGCCTCCCCTGGAACTTGTCTTTCCTGCCACCTGCCCCTCCCACACCTGAGCCCCCCTGGCATCTGCCCCCCACCCTGCAGTGTCTGGGTCCCCAGGTGCCTGCCTCTCTACCCCCCACCCCACCTGCCTGGGTTTGGCTTAATATTTGAACACCATTCAGCTGCCATATTTTGTTATCAGTATGAAAATTAGTACCTCTGCTCAGATGAAGCCACGCACAGTCGTTCACTCTCATCTTCCACATCAGCTCATGCAAAGAGATCTTGGCAAACCTTCCCAAGGAGATGAACCTTTTTACGTTTTTGAAGAACCGGCATTTGTTATGGCTAGAACCCCACAGCTCCACAGGGACTACTCGCTCTAGACATTCCCTCACAAAAACATACACCTGCCAGTGCTTGCTGTTCTGCTTAAGGAGCTCCCTGAAGGCAGAATCGGAGAGGTCTTGAGGACTGTGCCCCAATAAAGGTTTTTCAGGGAGCGTGCTTGAATCAGTTGAGGTCCTTTTCAGAAGTGGACGAGAATCACTTGCACCGCCTTCTCTGCTGCCTTCTCCACAGCTGTTTCTCGGACATGAACCTGGCCCTTCCCTAAGAGGATCTTCCCCTTGCCTGGGAATTTGTGTCCCCTCAGATGTTGGTGACTGATGCAATGGGTCAACTTTGCCTGAGCTGGCCTCAGACAGCTGAACAGGACAATTCTTTTTCAAAAGTACTAAATAGGGGCACTTGGCATGGTTCTTTAACAGTTCTTGAAACACATTCCTCATCTGCCAGTAGCGTTTGGGAAATCTCTTCTTTCTCCATCTGTGCCTCAGTGGGTTCTGGTGGCACTTTTGCTGCAATGTATTCCCATTTAGGAATATGGCTTCTACAAGTTGCTGACCCCCTTTTGGGGAGCACTTTAAGCGGTTCAGTAAAAATGGTTTAGGAAAACCTTCTTGGAAGCTTCTGAGAGAATATAAGAGAGAGCTTGTCCTAATGTACACGGCAGACCATACAGTTTTCTTTGGTAACTTCTTAGCTAAGTCAGTTGGATTCTTTTTAAGGCCTCTGTATTTTAAAGAATCATCTTCCACTTGTGCGACTTCTGCAGAACCAGCTGGAGATTTACAGGCGTCTTGCTCTCTGTTGGATTTTGTCCTTGTTTTGGTTCTAGGTTTAGAAAGCTTGTTACTCTGATCATGTAGCAGAAATGAATTCTCACTATCTGCCACAAACTTCCGGCTATCATGAGTGTCTAATGCTTGATGAGGAGCAGGCACTCTTGATGAACCACCCTCACTCCCTTGAGGAAATGATTCTACGTATTCCGAGCCAGCATCTTGGGATTTGTTTTTGTCTACATTAGAACCAAAGCTCTCAGTTTCTTTCTCCAGCTCTTCTGCTGTTATCTTCACCCTTTTGACTGAAATCTCAAGCTGCTCCCCACCACGTTTTCGTTTGAAAGGTGCAACTGCAGCTGCTGGATATAGATCACAGCTTCTCCAACTTCCCAGGTCTCCTATTGACATCTTGTCCTGTTTGCTTGTCCTACTATTCTGCCCAACAGTTTCCTCAGCAGTAGCAAAATGCTGATCATTAGACATGGGGACTCCTGATATTTTACTCTTTTGTCGCACTGTCATCACAGTACTTATTTCAGAGCTCTGCTTGCGTTTCCAGTTCGTCTGGGATAGGTAATTCCTACGAAACTTAGACTTCTTTTGCACATAATCAAGCAATACATTCTTTCTACGCTTTGAATATGCTTGCTTAACAAACACTGGGGATGGTTCCAAGTTATTTGAAATTAGTTCATAGAGAGGCAGCCCACAGATTTGGTAACAGCAGCTAGGAGGCACTAGCATAAAGACAGCACAATGTTCCAACAAATACATCATCAGGTCATCCCCTATCCTGCTCAGTAACGTTTCCCAGAGGCCATCAGTGTGAAGAGCTTCTGTTGAAGTATTAGGAAGGTAGTTGCATAGACCTACAGTAGATGTAACCAGCAAATGAGAAGTGTTTTCATCTAATAAGGAATACCCAAATGCAAGCACATTCTTCTTCTTTTTTTCACAAAGTCTCTGAACAACTCTTTTGATAACATCACTCATAGTAGAGAGCTGAAAAGGGAAAAAATAAAACAAAAGTTAACTTTCCTAAGACTTTTTTTGGGGGGACAAACCACAAATCCACCTTCAAAAGCATGCATGCTTAGCCCCAGACTCTGGTTGTAGATTTTGACTCTTCAAAACAAGTTGATCAGCCTGCACGTGCCACACTGCATCAGGCATTTTCAAATGTTACACAGACTTTTGTACACTGAAAGCAGGGATGAAGAATTTGGGCACGGTACTTACTCCCTCCCCCTTCATAAAACTGGGATAATGCTCTCTCCTCACCCGCAGTCCATCCTGTCTGTTTAGACTGCAGGATCCTCAAGTCAGAGGATCTACCAAGCTGCATTTACAGCACTTACTATACCATAGACCTAATCCCTCCAGGAATATGAATTCAATTATCTCAATTCATGAGAATCAAACAGGTCAACAGAAGAATAGCTTTGTTTATGCAGCAACTTAAGAGAGAAGTCTGCAAGATCATCTTCTCTCCTGTTTACTGAACACAACTGAAGGGGATCGCCTTTCTCTTTCTGCAACATGAGAATTGCATTATTCAGCCCCAATTACAATGGAGGCTGTTCCTTTTCAATTTTTAAATGCTCCTTCATGAGAAAGAGCAGAGCAAACAAGCCCTGGACACCCAACCTTTTGTTTTACCCAACCCCAGCCTAGGGACCAGGAACTTTGCGTTCACACTTCAGCAGGAAAAGAGGAACCCCTTCTCCCGACCCTCGCACAGCTTATAGCACTGGTTCTCAATGTTTTTAGACTGAAGGCACCTCTCAGGAAACATAACCCTCCCACCTGAAGAGACCTGAGGTCCCCCCTTTGAAAATACTAACTCCTAGTTCTTACTGGGTTTTTCTGTACTTTTTTTACTACAAATAGACGAAAGGCCTCAGAAAGACAAGGGCCAGTCAGAATGCTTTTGACATTCTAGGTTCCTGTCTGACATCACTGGGTACATCTTATGAATCATGGTGGCACATCTGATAGTGCTAGCCTTGCATGACACATTGTGGCACCCCCAAGAGGATCTCAAGACACCCAAAGGGCACGGCAACACACTGGTAGAGAATCATTGGTCCAACCTCATTTTAAAACTGCAGGGACAGCCCTACTGCAGTGATGCCTTGAACCCTGGGGTGCCTTGAACTTGGAGAGAGCTCCTGAGCAGGAATCCCAGCGCTCTCAGTTTTTAAAAAATGCCCAATTTTCAGTTTTTTAAAAAAAAGTAACCTCACAGCCACAGTTGTCTGTGATATATATATAGAGAGAGTGGTGTTTCATTTATATATTAGGGATGTTACATTAAAAAAAAAAAAAAAAAAAAATCACAGAAAAATATGGATTTGGAGTTTCTTTTTTTAAACCAAAAAATAAGGATTTTTTTTTTTTTTTAATTAGGGGATTTTAATTAAAAAAAAAAAAAAATCACAGAAAAATATGGATTTGGAGTTACTTTTTTTAAACCAAAAATTAAGGATTTTTTTTTTTTTTTAAATCAGAGAAAACCAAAATCCCTGCTCACCACATCCTTAAGCCAGGCCCCCAGCTCAGAGCAGCATCTTCTCTTGGGAGAGGAAAAGGGAGAGCTCCAGCTCCCTTCCCCCAAGCCTAAGTGCCTTCCCTCCTGGGACCGGGTCACCCTCCTGCATGTGTGCCCATGTGTGGGGGGGGTTGCAATGAGTGTGCGTGTAGGGGGTAATAATGGGGTGTGTACGGAGAGCAATGGGGGGTGCGCAAGTGGAACAATGTGTGTGCGCGCGTGTAGGGGGAACACTGAAAGTGAGAGTGCGTGTGTGAACAGGAAGCAGCGGGGGTGCGTGGAGTGGAGCAGGACGTGTACACGAGCGCGGCGAGACCCGGTGCGCGCGCATCTACCGCCGCCGCCTCCTCTCCCAAGCCTGGAGGCGGGCGAGGGTACAAGGGCCCCGGGGTCGCCGCAGCGGGCAGAGGCGAGCAGACGGCGCCCTCCCCCCCGCGCCGTGGCCCTCCCCCGGGGGTACCTGGCGGAAGCAGAGCGGGCGGGGCAGGGCGCGGGCGCCCCGCGGCACCGCCACCACGAGGCGCTCCGC